CACACATCTTATCCCTGCTTCTCTCTGCTGATTGAAACCGCAGGGGAGCAACACATGCAGCCAGAGACAGCATACAGATCAGGGGAGTGAGGGGGATGGTGGGAGGGTTTAAGATAGCCTATAGATTTTTTGGGGGGGGCAGCAGCCTATAGATTTTTTGGGGGGCAGCAGCCTATTGATTTTTGGGGCAGCAGCCTACAGCAGCCTATTTGGGCAGCAGCCTATAGATTTTATAGGGGGCAGCAGCCTATAGATTTGGGAGCAGCAGCCTATAGATTTTTTGGGGGGCAGCAGCCTATAGATTTTTGGGGGCAGCAGCCTATAGATTTTTGGGCAGCAGCCTATTTGGGACAGCAGCCTATAGATTTGGGAGGAGGGGCAGCAGCCTATAGATGTGGGGAGGAGGGCCAGCCTATATATTTGGGAGGAGGGGCAGCAGCCTATAGATTTGGGAGGTGGGGCAGCAGCCTATAGATTTTTGGGGGAGGCAGCAGCCTATAGATTTAAGGCAGCCTATAGATTTGGGGGCAGCGGCAGCAGCTTTGGGGAGGAGGGCAACAGCCTATAGATTTGGGAGAGGGGCAGCAGCCTATAGATTTGGGGGGAGGCAGCAGCTATAGGGGAAGGGCAGCTGCCATAGATTTTAAAAGGCAGCAGCCTATAGGGGAGTGAGGCATGGGGGGGCAGCCTATAGATTAGGGAAGTGAGCATAGGCGTGCGCCTATAGATTAGGGGAGTGAGGCATGGGGGGGCAGCCTATAGATTAGGGAAGTGAGCATAGGCATGTGCAGCCTATTGCATTAGGATGTGCACCCTAAAGCACAAACACACGCCATGTGTATATGTATGTGTGTGTATATGTGTATGTGTGTATATATATATATATATATATATATATATTTATACACACACACACACTGCTGTGTGTGAGGGTGCTGTTAGTGTGCTGTGTGTGAGGGTGCTGTTTGTGAGGGAACTGGTAGTGTGCTGTGTGTTTGTGTGTGCGTGTTTGTTCGGGTCCTGTTAGTGTGCTGTTTGTGTGCGGGTGTTGTGTGTTAGGGTGCTGTGCGGGTGTTGTGTGTGAGTTTTGTGTGTTTGTGAGGATGCTGTTAGTGTGCTGGGTGTGTGTGGGCGTTGTATGTGTGTGGGTGCTGTGTGTGCGAGGGTGATGTATGTGTGTAGGTGCTGTGTGTGTGTGTGGGTGCTGTTTGTGGGCTGTGTGTGCTGTATGTTTGGG